GCCCTAGATGGAGGCCTCAGAGGCTGTCGAGCCGAGGAGGCCCCGGAGGCGGTCACTCACGAGCCCAGAAGGAAGCCCGGAGGCCGACCACGAGCCCTAGATGGAGGCCTCGGAGGCCGTCCACGAGCCCGAGAAGGAGGTGCCTTATGATGCCATAAGGACCTTCTCGTTTAACCTCGCTCGAGACCAGGAGAGTGCTCTCCAGCTGCTTGCCGATCAATTAAAGGCAGCGTTGGAGGCAGTCCTTCAGGAACCGGGGAAGACCACACCTCGATCAAAGAGGGCCTTCGCCCTCGACCTTAAAGTGGCTGTGCCACAGGAATTCCTTCGCCCTCAGGGTCTTGAGAATTCTCTCTCCGAGAAGGAAGGCCAAGACGCCTGAGAACGGTGATTGGCCAGTCACAGTTGCTGAAGGAAATGAGGCAATGTCTCGCAACGCAACTGAGACTAGAATATAATAATAATAATATTAATAATGATGATGATGATATTCATAATAGTGATTTCATTATCCTATTGATAAGGATAATAAAAATGATATATATATGAATATATGCGTACGCGCAAGCGCAAGCGCATCTGTATCTATGTGTTTGTTTATTTGTGTATATGGTGTGCGTTAGTAATGATAATCGTAATAATGATAATTATAACAATGATATACACACACAGATACACAAATATATACACACACACACAGATACACACACATACACACACACTCTTATACACATACATACACACACACGCGCACATACACACACATACACTAAACAACACACACACGTACGCAAACATGAAGCAAATGGAATGTGGGTTTTAACAATATATTCAAGTACTTGTATAATGATTTTGTTTCCCGGTCTCTCTCTCTCTCTCTCTCTCTCTCTCTCTCTCTCTCTCTCTCATCCTTCTAGCTCTCTCTTTCCCTTTCTGTATCTTTCATGCTCCCTCCCTTCCCTCTTTCCTTCACTTCGTCCCTCTCCTCCTCCATTCTCTCCTCTCACTCACTATATATATATATATATATATATATATATATATATATATATATATATATATATATATATATATATATATATATATATATATATATATATATATATATATATATATATATATATATATATATATATATATATATATATATATATATATATATATATATATATATATCCGTGTGTAACTCTTCGGAATATTGTCATCAATATTATTATTGTCTTTATTGTCAACTATAATGATATATCATCATATATCCTTAGCTCGGACTGATGAAGCTTTCCATCCATAAATCTTAATCCCTTTCTACGCTCGGGTAACAAATCCAGAGAAACAATATGCGAAAGCACACATCAAGAGGCACTGCAAATTACAGAAGTTTACCCCAAAAACAGAACGTTTACTCCATACCCGTTTTCTATGGAGGTTTCGAATGCTGAACAATCGTTTCATTTCTTCGTCGATCTGGACAGTGAACGAAATCACGACCATAACATCACCATAATCTACATTGAACTGCCATCACAATTCGTCCAAATCGACAGCAGAGTCTACTTGATTAGTCGTTAGCCCATGGGATACGTACTCGTAAAATTTTATGACAAACCCCGTGCAACCTTTCGGAAAATCCTACTGAAACATCGGTCACTATCAACAAAGCCAAACCTAATGATGATGATAATTATGATGATACTTACGATAGTTATAATGATTGTGATATACATTATTATAGTGATGATATTAAGAACAACGAGTATGAATATAATAATGATAATAATAGGTTTAACAATCTTTAAGTATGTGATACTAATAACAATGTAGTAATGGCAATAATACAAATTATGATGATAATATTGATAGCTAAAAGACGATAATAATGACATTATCATATTAATACATATTAATACTGATAATAGTTTTGATAGAGTAAAAATAATTATTATCATAATAATGATATTATATGGACAATAATGATAATGAAAATATTTATAATGATTGTGATAACAATTATGATAATAATGATGGTGAAAATAATAAAGATGATAAGAATAGCTTTTATGATAATGATAATGCTCCTTAGACAATAATGAAGATGATAATGAAAATTGTAACAATAGTATTAATCAAACGATCTTTAGAATAATAATAAAATAATCTATATGTTTCATTCACACACACACGCACACGCCCGCGCGAACACATGCACACCTACATACATACATATACATACATACATGCATATATATACATTCAGATACATACATACATACATATGCATAATCCTAAAATATAAAAAGCCCCCCCCCCGAAAAAAAAAAAAAAAAAAAAAAAAACAGGACATTAGACGACGTGGCAAGTTTCCGAAGGCAGTCGCTTCACCGCCCCGCCCGCCCGCCCGCCCCCCACCCGCTCTCGCACGCCCGACCTCCTCTTAAGACGCGCTAAATGTCACGCGGGGACGAGGAAGGGAAAAAGGGGGCCAATCGAGGTCAACTTTGACGTCTTGGAGACTGATGGCGAGTTTTTTTTTTTTTTTTTTTTTTTTTTTTTTGAGGGGAGAAGGGGAGGAGGGGCGTGAGAAGGATCGGAGGGAGGAGGAAGGAAGGAAGGAGAAGGGGAAGTTCGGTAGGGAAGGATGAATGGATAGAGAGTGCGATAGAAAGAGGGAGAAAGGAAGGAAGGAGGGAGGAAGAAGAAAGGGAAAGTTAGGTAGGGTGGATTAGGTAAGGAAGGAGGGTGAAGGAGGGGATGGATGGAGAGAGACTGAGAGAGAGAGAGAGAGGGAGGGAGGGAGTGATGTAGGAAGGAAGGAGGGAGGGAGGAAGGAAGAGAGGGAAAGTTAGGTAGGGAAGGATGAATGGATGGAGAGTGCGATAGAGAGAGGGAGGAAGGAAGAGAGGGAAAGTTCGGTAGGGGTGGATTAGGTAGGGAAGGAGGGTGGGGGTATGGAGGGAGGGAGGGAGAGAGAGAGAGAGAGAGAGAGAGAGAGAGAGAGAGAGAGAGAGAGAGAGAGAGAGACAGACAGACAGACAGACAGAGACAGACAGACAGACAGACAGACAGACAGACAGAAGGAAAGAAAGAAAGACATATAGGCAGAGAATGAGAAGTACAAGAAAGAGAGGATAAAGAAGAAAGATAAGGAAAAAGGAGAATATAAAGGAAATAAGATGAACAAGAGCAGTGAGAAAGGAAGAGAGAAGTAATCGGATGTGAGGAAATGGGAGGAGAGAATTAGAAAGGAAGTTAGGAATAAAGTCAGGAATTGAGAGAATAAGGCAGAGAGAGAAGAACGAAGAAATGAGGAAAGGAAGAAAATAGAAAGAAACGAACATAGCAAAGAGAAAATAAAACAAAACCCATAAAGAAGAAAATAACAAAAAGAAAATCAAATTGGAAAGAGAGATAAGAACCGAAAAGATAAAAAAGAAAAAAAGACTAAGAAAAAAAAATAATAATGCACTGCAAAGAAATACGTTTAAAACGCCTCGCTATGACTTTCTCCGCCTTCGCTATCACAACCTCAAGTATTACAATGATGAAAAAGAGGGAGAGAGATCGCGAAAGAGACAGAAGAGCAGGGTGTGTGGGAGGGAAAGAGGGAAAAAGAGAGAGCGAGAAAGAGTGAGAGAGGGAGGTAAGGAGAGAGAGAAAGAGGAAGGGAGGGGGGAGAGGGAGAGACAGAAAAAAGCGAGAGGAGTAAGAGAGAGAGAGAGTGATAGAGAAAGAGAGAGGGGGGGAAGAGAGGAAGAGGGAGAGAAAGAGAAAGAAAAAGAGACAGAGAGAAAGAGAGACAGACAGACAGACAGAGACTATCAGACAAACAGACAGAGAAAAGAGGAAGAGAGAGAGGGAAAGGAAAGGGAGAGAAAGCAGGTCAGGAGAGTCAAAAGCAGTCGCGAATTGAAAGCATTAACTCCAAAGGACTTCCGGCGGACCAGACGCGAACAAAAAGAGAAAGTAAAAAGAAATACGAAAAGAAAATAAAAAAATACGATAATCACACGAAAAAAAAATCAAAATCAAGAACGAAAATTAGACTGAATAGGAAGACATGAGAAGCGGATTGAACTTGATAATCCAAGGGAAAATAGAGATAAGACGGAAATAAGTGCAATTTGACCTCTTAATCGTGAAAAGTGAGAAAGTGGGAGAAAAGTGACGACGCAAGGGTGACGGCGAAGCAGTGTTGCGAGTCGTGTAAAACTGTGTCATATTTTGAGATAAAAAAAACACGAAATTTACAAGTTTGAGGAGACTGTTTTACATGCAAATGGACGAAGAAGGAGATAAGGAAAGAATGAAGGGAAGTGAGATAAGACGAAAGAGATATTAAGGGGGGTATGGGAATAAAATACGATAAAGGAGAGCCAGAGATAAAGGGATAAATAAAATGAAACAAAAGAAGAAGGAAGAAAACATACAATAAGAAAGAAAAAAACAGCAAATACATCTCTTGTCAATACCGATAAAAAGAGAAATTACGAAAAATAACAAATCAAAAACAGGAAACGTCACTAGAGCAAATTACGTTGGTCCAAATTTGTTTTTGAGGTTTGTGAAGCGACCTTGGCGTCTGCTTACAAGGAAAAATAAGTCGGGAAGGGAAACAGGGTTTTTTTTTCCGCGTTTCCTCTGGAATTCACAAGTTTATTTGTTTACGGTGTTCCTGGTCTTTGGAATATCTCATATTTGGCGAAAAAAAAATAAATAAATGAATATATATATATATATATATATATATATATATATATATATATATATATATATATATATATATATATATGTATGTATGTGTGTGTTTGGATTCACGGTACGATTTTTTTTTGTCTACTTTACGAGAATATTTGTAAGTTTATAGTCTTTTCTTTTTGGCTGTTTGTTTGTTTTTGTTTTTATACCAAAAGAGCTGAAGAAGAAAACGTTACACTGCATGAATGCGCAATGCAATTGTTTTCGCCAATCAGATCTGAAAATGATATACATGAATTCCGAAAAAA